GGGGAGGCGCTCTTCAAGCCTTTTTTCGCCACTTTTCTCTGCAACGATATAGAACGATTAGCATTTTCTGGTATAGAAATAATTCGAGAAAATATTTTTCATTTTAAAGAAGTAAAATTGTTCTACCATTCAATTGATTTTTTTTTTTACTATAAAAAAATTAACATAAACAAGTTTAGACAGTCCATTGTATACGAGAATACATCTTAGAATAATAAAATTTAATAAAGAAGACAATAAATATATTCTTAATAACAGCGTTAGAAAATTAAGTTTTAATTGTGTCGGAAAAATACTAACGGTTGTAAGCTTCTCGCTGTATATTTCGATGCATTTAAACTTTGGATAATATCTGCTTAATATCTGTAAATAGTTCTGTTCGTTCTTCTACGGTTGTAGGTGATGTTGGGTATTTTGTTAGTTGTTTCAAAGAAGTCTTTTTTTGACCCCTTACAACTAATTATATAGTTTAGATGTAATTTATGGGTATTCCCATTGCTAGAACTTTGTACTACAATGAAAGAACAATATATCATAAAATCAGGATTAATATTTCTATAAATAAAAGGAATTATAAAATACAATATTTACAAAACTACAGTGTATAATGTTTTAAATAACCAATAACACTTACCATCTCTTGTGATAATATCAATATTTACAATAAGTTGTAACATTATTTACATACTCTTTTGCAACATTAAAATCTGAAACTTACTGATACAGGAAATTGGCGTCAGTTTCAAAACTTTTAGGAGCTTTAAATGACGTAGTTAATTAGAATGCGAGGTAGCGTTTAAACGTAAAACTTAAATTTTTTATAGGTTAACTAAACAATAGAAAGAATAAATGAACTGAAAACAAAAACATAACGAAATAAAAATAAGATTTGCTACCTCATATTCCTTCCCCTTTCGAAAAAAGAAAGTGATTACATTAATCACTGTTCATAAAGTTCCAATTTTCGTATCCTTACTTTTAAGGACTATTATACTGACACCACGAATTCTGCCTAGTTTAAGTACATATACCTTACAAAGAAAATTCGTTCATGTTTTCTATCTTCACCTTTTCTACCTTCCGGCTCAGGTTACGGGACGTCTTTAAGTTCAAAGACAAGCTAAGCTGCCATAATTAACTAGTTAGACCACGAGATTTAAAATCATGCGATTATTATTTACATACTCTTTAACAATATTAACATTTACAATGTCAGTTATGGAAAACTGGTGTTAGTCTGATACTTAAAACTGATGTGAATAACTAGATCGTGAGTTAGCGTTTAAATGTAAAACTAAATATTCACAGCTTAACGAAACGAAAGAATGAATAATATATGCACGGTTAACAAATCCAAAACTAAATAAATTGAACTTGCTACCTAACACTCCTTCCCCTTTAGAAAAAAAAAAATGGATTACATTAATCACTATTTAAAATACCCAATTTTAGTATCCTTAATTTTAACGCTCTCATTATACTGACATAGTCAATCCTTAACAACTGAAATACATATATACATACATATATTTGAAGGCGAAATCATTCCATTTTCTCCTATACTCGGTTTTTATCCTCTTTAGCTTCCGGCTTCAGTTCAGTTTAACGGAAGTTCATGAGTTCCAAGACCAGCTAATCTGTGATAATTAACTAAACTACTCGCATCAAGAAATCAGAATTCATGTGATAATCATGTGCACACTTTCTCAACATTAATATCTGAACGTCACCCCCTATGGAACATCGGCTGCAGTCCGATAATTTTATATAATTTTAAAAATTGATGTGGTTTACTAGAATGCGAGTTAGCGTATAAATGTAAATTAGAAATAGATAGATTAACTAAACGATAGAAGAAAGAATTGAATGGTAAACAAAAGCCTAACAAAAAAAAAAAAAAAAAGAATTTGCTATCTCACAATCCTTCCCTTTTCGGAAACCGAAGTGATTACGTTGATTAATACTAAACTCCCTCATTATACTAACACTGAATCCTTTATAGTTTCGAAACCTTACAAGTAAAAATAATTCATATTCTTGAATCTTGAGCTTCATCTTTTCTTTCCTGCTGTAGTTCATCTTACAGAAATTTTGAGTTCAGAGATCAGCCAGGTTGAGAAGACAAGTCATTAGCATGTTATGTCGAAGGATGAGATGTGGATACACCAGAATTAGTTGTTTATTTTGTTGGGCAAGTCTCCAAGCCTTCTTGCAGCATTTAATTTTGTGAAAATGCCTAGGATAAGAATGGTGTCAAGGAATTAACTGGAGAAAAAAAATTATATCTTTTAAATTAACAAAAAAATCTAATCACAACCAGCGAGTTTGGACAGTCCAATTCAATATAAAATAAATTTGAGTAAAATTGTTTACTCCAGAAGATAATGGATGTATTCATAATAATATTATTTAGAAGTTAACTACTTTTAGTTGTGACTTACCGTTACTAGCTTATTAACATTGTATCTTGTTTTCTGTATAACGTCTTGAAATAGTTGTGTTCGTTGACCATTAAGTAATTCGTATAGAGCTTACGGATATGCAAGTGGTGAGGACTTTGTACTAACATGAAAGAATATACCACTAATATTAGGATTAATATTTCAATAAATAAAAGAAATTAGAAGAAAAAGTACAAAACATCTAAAAACAGACACTTCTCCACTAACTCTCGTGAGCAGACTTATTGAAGCTCATGGCACGGTTTATATTCAAGAGATTAAAGATGCATTATTATTTACAAGTCACAGATAGGGAAACTGATGTCAGTCTGATAACTTTTATAAACTTTAAATGACGTAATTAGCTAGAAGGTGAGTTAGCGTTTAAATGTAAACTAAAATTTGATAGATTAACTAAACAATAGAAAGAATAATAAAGTGAACTGAAAACAAAACCACAAAGAAATGAAAAATAAAGCTTGCTACCTCACACTCCTTGCCCCTTTCGAAAAATGAAGTGATTAATCACTCCTAAATTACCACTTTCTCCATCCTTACTTTTAACGACCTCGTTATACTCACATCATGAATACTGCATAGTTTAAATATATACACTTTACAAAGAAAATCCGTTCATAGACTTCAATCTTCAACTTCTCTACCTTCCGGCTCAAGTTACGGGAAATCCTCGAGTTCAAAGACAAGCAAGCTGAAATCATGAAATAACTAGTTAGAACAGATTAATTTATATGATCATTATTTACACACTCTTTACCAACATAAATATCTGTACGTAACCGATATGGGAAACT